ACATTTTTAGTCAGCTAATCAGCTGACTAAAATTTTTAATTATTAATTAAAATATTACATATCAATCAGCTATAATCTCTGATCACTATACCAATGTCACTAGGATTAATTAATAATATTCTGAACCATATATGAATAAGCAGAATCTTTATTTCTGCTAATCCCCAATAGACCAGGTTATCGTGCAAACTCTTATAATTATAGATTTTTTTCTTCTTGTTATTTTTTGTACGTTATTTTGTAAGCACAACAATCCTAAATTAAAACTCAGTTAGTTAACCACAACTCGTAAATCATGATCATAATTGCACAATAACATATTGGATCATACGATGATAAATATCACAAAATTTGTTCTGTTAGAGCAAATGATTGGATGAAACATGCTGCTACACAGCATATATCAGCTAATCATTTGCTTTAACAAAACAAATTTCATGATATTAATCGTTGCATAGCCAATATCTTATACATATTATTATTTTTAATATTTTAGTAAGTTGGCTAAAAACATTTTTTTGACTAATTTTTGATTCCTATCTTTGATTACAGGGCTCCAGTATTCACATTAGGGCAGTGTCATGTCATTTATCACCTAATTTTTTTTTATCAGAGGCTTACCCCCCTCCCCCTCTTAATATAAAAAAAATCAGGTTCTATATATAATTTTAACTTTTTTTACCCCTCCTCTCCTAAAAAATCACCTGATTTTTGTTATGTCTCTTAGTGATTTTGTCTGTAAATCTATCAGACATCTCAAACTTTCAGACTATGAAATTGATATAAATAATTTACTTCCTGATTCCATGCATCTCAAATATACCGAAGCAGATGTTGCCATCTATCCAGGTATAAATCGTGATGGTTGGTAGACATGCGATGATTTAGTTAATCAGATAGTTAAATGTGCTGTTACAGTACCGTGGCCTTCTTAACAGCAGTACTATAATAATGACATGGCTACAGAGATCCTTTACAGGTTTATAGTGGTGTCCAACAGGTAAGTATAATTTCTAC